AGGGGGTGGAGGGAGAGGAAGGGAGGGAGGTGTAGAGGTGGAGGAGGTTGGAGGGAGGGAGAGAGAGAGAGGTGCGGACAGTGGTGGTGGTGGTGATGGTAGGTGGGTGGGTGGGTGGGGGGGTGGGTGCGGGGAGTGGCAGCGGGTGGTGGCGTGACCGAGTCGTGGCGAGTGAGTGGTGGCGGTGGTTGGTTGGTAGGATGTGACCAATTGGGCGGAGGACGAACGACCGACAGATGGGGCAAGGGGGGGGGGGGGGGGGGAGGAGGAAGGGGGGGAATCGAAGGTCATGGTTGATTGGATGTAGTTGAGTTGTTGGCTCGGTGGGGAGATGGAGGCTGACTAGCCGAGAAGCAGCTTCTCCAGGTTCATGATGGGCTTCTCGACGAGGAGGTAGGAGATGAGCGACATGATGTAGGCCGAGATGAGGAAAAAGGAGGTGTAGACGGCGATAAAGTCGGGCCGATAGCGCGAGAGCGCGGTGGCGTTGCCAAACACGACAGTCATGATGACATAGTGCCAGAGATAGGCCGAGTACGTGAGGCGAGCAAGGCCGGCAAAGACCGGGGCGGAGAGAAAGGCGGCGACGGGACCGCCGTCGCCCGAGATGTAGATGTAGACCACGGCGGCGAGGCCAAGCGTCCATGCAGGGCGCGAGAGGGCGAGGTACGCCACACGGGTAGCCTTGGGCCACGAGCCGGCCAGATCGCCGCCCTTGATGTTCGAGTACTGGCCAAAGAAGGTGAGGCCCATGACGGTAAAGGCGGCAGCGTAGACGAGCCAGCGGACGAGCGGCGGAAGCCGCGGCGCGTAGCCACGGGTCCGGCCAAGCCAGTCGAGGACGCCGGCGAGGCCGACGCCGATCAAGTACGCAGGCATTCGCATGTATGGCTTGCCGTAGAACTCGTTCGTCTGGTTTCCTTCACCCGGTCCGCTCAGCAGGTTGGCTGAAAGGTTGTTGGCGGCGCCGATGCCGAGCCCGAGGGCAATGCCCAGCGCAGAGAGGAACGAGACAACAAAGAGGCCGGTCTTGAACGAGGCGCGGAAGGCCAGGATGGAAAGCGGGGCGAGAACGAGGAAGAACTGCATGTCGTTGGAGAGATACCACGTCCAGCCAGCGCAGATGTTGCCAAAGGAGGCCGGCGTGAAGTTGTTGACAAAGCCGAGTGTGGCCAGCCACCGATGGTGCTCGACACACGTTGTCCGGACGTTGGACACGACGGCTGGCCACGCCGGTCCGTCGCCGAGATACGGCACGAGGACGGTGTAGACAAGAACGAGGAGTCCGAGCGCGGGGAGGAGCCGAACGAACCGATGCGCCACAAACAGCACCCAGTTGATCGACTTTCCGTTTGAGAGCGTCTTGAGCGAGAGAAACACCACCAGGAAGCCCGAGAGGAAAAGAACGTGTCGACGCAGAACTCGGCGCCGAGCACAACCTGGAACGGAAACTGATACACTGCGCCGGTCCGCGGAGACAGGTCGGCATCGGTGAGGCCGAGGGTGGCAAGGATCTTTGGGCCAAAGACCGCAGACAGGTCGTCGACACCCGGGTTGGACAGAATGTTGAGCACGGTGTGTCCGATGATAATAAAGCACATCGAGAAGAACCGCATGCCGTTGAGCGAGTTGAGGAGCGCCGGTGGCTGGACCACAAGTCGCTTGAGGTTGTGGATGGCCGAGAACGCGAGGAGGATTCGCAGCGCGAGCGGGTCTTTGCCTGGCAGAGGAGCGCCGGCGGCGAGAGCCGATGCGCCTGACACCGACGGCATGCCGGAACGCGGCAGCTGGCCGAGGAGCAACGCATGCTCGTCGCCCTTGCCGGTCGCGTTGACCGGGAAGAGCAGGCCGTCCTCGGTAAAGACCATGGTACCCGCCGGGCGCGGCACGTCATAGCCAAGACTAGCGCCGGGGGACGGTGGCGAGCGGATGGCCGAGCGGACAGCGTCAACGACCGAAGCCACGACCACGATAGCGAGGAGGGTGCCGAGGAGCGCAACAACTGCCACCGCGCCCGAGCTCTTCCACACGTTGGCCCAGCGGTACTCGCCCTCATCAGAGCACGTCACGCCGCCGATGAGCATGAGCGGGAGGGTAGACGTCGAGCCTGGGGCCAGCAGCGCCTCCAGCATGCTCGCCGAGCAGGCAGATGGGAGACAGATGCCATTGTTGAGCGGGATGACCGTAACGTTGGAGGTGGGGAAGACGGCTTCGTCGATGACCAGCTCGCCCTTGATCACACACATGTGTGCCTCCTTGATAGCTGCACACAGACCAGCATTGCCCAGATCTGCTGGAATAGCCAGACCAGACGCGCCGAGCAGCATAGCCAGATCCTTCGTCGAGCTGAACGACATCATCGACAACAGTGCCGTCTCGCATGCCACGAGGGCAGGCGAGACAGGCGACGGCGGTGGTGGTGGAGGTGGTGGTGGGGAAGCACCACCAGCAGGAGTCGCACCAACCGCAACGAGAATGACAACAAGACCAATGACCAAATAGCCCAGTCCACGGCTACGCTGCAGCGAGTCGTACAGCAGCGGCATGTGGGCTGGAGTTGGGTGGGTCGGGTGGGGTGAGGGGGGGGGG